CCACACAGGCTTAAAAATAGTCCAGGAGAACAACTGTTCCTGTACCAGTGGGGAGGAGGGAGAGGGGGGAGGGTGGGGAGGGAGCTCAGCTTGTCCTGGTCAGCTGGGCTGGGCATGGCACCCACAGCCTAGTTAAATAATCACAGACTGGTTTGGGTTGAAAAAAAACCTTCAAGATCATCCTGTCCCACCCCCTGCCAAAGGCAGGGACATCTTCCACTAGCCCAGGTTGCTCCAAGTGCCATCTAACCTGGCCTTGAACACTTCCAGGGATGGGGCAGCCACAGCTTCTCTGGGCAACCTGTACCAGGGCCTCACCACTCTCATAGGGATTAATTTCATCCTAAAATCTAGTCCAAATCTCCCCTCTAGGTGTTTAAAAAGTTTAAAACCTCCCTCTGAGGACTTTTCGAGTTGAGACCCCACAAATCACCTTACAAAAAATCAGCCAGTAGATGGCAGGGCTGCAAAGCCTGATAACATCACCCGAGTTCAATTCACTCCAGCAAGAGACAGAATGATATTTTAAAGACTAATGTTTTCATACTTTAACTACCCTAACAGGATCTATTAGTACATCTGCAGAGATATTTTAAAGACTTATGGCTGGAGGATTACAATTAGCACACCAAACAACCCGGATCAGGCAGATCCATTCAAGTTTAAGCTTATTTTCAAATTCAAATCAAGTAGAGCTTCTAAAAGTGCAGATAATTTCTCCACAGTAATGTCCAGCTCATTCCAGGCATCAGCCAATTTAGGGCTATTGCGATCAACACGTTTTTTAGAGAGCAAAGACATACCAAAAACACAAGCCTGTGCCAGTGCCTGGTTCCAATCTCTGAGAAAATAAATATCCTTTTCCCCACTTTCATTATTTTTTCAATAAGGTAAATCCCGAACTTTCCCTTCACCAGTCACACACCTTTTTCACAGTGTGGATCCCACCTTAATGTTCACAATACTATTTTTAATCATCACAGGAGTTTTAAATACCAGCTTACACGAGGAGTAATCAGAGCTACTCAGTCTCAGCTGAGCAAACCCAGTGCTGAGCAGCACCAGGTGATGCTCCTGTGTGCAAGGGATAAGACAGGGAGGGACCCATCCCACATCAGCAGCAGCCTAAGGACACACATGGACTCCAGTATTTCTCTCTAGAACTTTTCCTGAGTGTTTCAGGGCATGACTTCCTTCCATAGGCAGCTTTGCTCATCCTACTTTTATATTTCCACAATTTTATATTTCCCCAATTATGAAAATCTTATTTTGAATTTAATGGTATTTATAATGCTACTTTCAAGTCAATACAGTTGATTTCTGTATCAGGTAATTTCATCTCACTGTGGTGATTTATTTTACTTCACTATTGCTAATTTCTGACTCAGAAATTTCCAAGGGATCTGCAGGAGGCTTTGCTGGGAGAGCTCAGCCAGGGCTGGCAGTGGAGGCTGTGGTGTCAGAGTGGCCTGGGGTATCTGCCCTCCTGAGCTCTGCCAGAAGAGACCCACAATGGGCACTTTGGTTTTCTTACAATGCCCAGAAAAGATATTTCTTGACTTTGGCTTCATCACCATGAAATTATAGCCCTACATTTACATCCCTGTGGGATTCCAGCTGTAACGAGCAGATACCAATCTGTATTTGTGGACACAGACTAGAACAGAACCATTCAGAGCCATGAGATGTTCTCTCCACAGCACTGCTGCAGGCATGTGATCCTGCAAACCAGCCTCAGTAAGAAACTCCCCCCCAGCCCTTTTTTTTTTTGGCACTGAAGAGGAAAAAAGTAGCAACAATTTGCTTTCTGATTTCCCTGCTCCACTTGCCTTTCCTGTGTGTATTAATCCATGTTTAACCTCTGGATTTGGGGAGTGTTTAAGTGTTTGCTGTGGGTAAGAGCAATGGCACAGAGAGGTTTTTGCTCCTGTCTGTGACAGACAGAGCTAGCCACCCCAAAATCCCTCTAGGCTTTCCAGTAACCCCTCCCAGCTTCACAGCAGCCTCAAAGCAGTAACTCAGAGCAAGTTAACTAAAATATTATTGTACACACGTGGGCTGTTTTCCTCAGAGTCATCAGTGTAAGCTTACACATGGTCTTGCTATCCAAAATTAATGCTGGACAAGAGACTTTTCATGCTCTGCTACTCTCAGACACTCACATCAAGCTGCCCACTTCACATGCTACATAAACCTAGGGGTACTCTTCCCACTCCTCCCAAAAATGAGTCTGAGGACCCAGAGGTTCAGGTTTCCCCTCCAAGGGAATTGTTGAGCTCCCACCAGCTTCAGGGAGGGGATGTCACCACAAGGTTGTCATGTTAAAGCTATCCTGCCAACTTACTGCCCCACCAATAAATCCAAAATTCAGAGTTCCTGCACACAAACCATCACAACACTTAGAGGTTATTGTGCTTTTAAAACATCCAAGGCTGATGGTCCAATGTTTCCTAGTTTACTTCCCTTGAGGAACCCAGCAGACCTCCACTCATCCCACCAGGGCAGGTAAACTCTTCTTGCTGCCAGGTCTGGATCATTCACGTGGAGAAGCCTCCACCTGCACAAGTTTTCTTGTGTACAAGGTGAAAACCCACCACCTGGAGCAATCCTAAAGAGCTCCAGGCATGTAAGAGTCACCAAATAAATCCTGGCTGTAATTATTGCACCCACCTGAGCTTCCATTCTCTTCCTGATGAAGCAGTGAGCAGCACCTGGCACAGCCCCTGCAGCCCCAGCCTGCCCTCCCCAGGAGCTGAAGGAAACCAAACCCAGTAATTTCTTACCCAATCTACCTCTCCACACCCGAGTGTGTGCATTTTGAGGGAGCCCCGTGGGTGCTGCACACATAAAATCACAGAATCAAAGAATCACAGAATTGTTCAGGTTGGAAAAGCCCCCAGCACTGCAAGAGCATGACTAACCCATGTTCCCAAGTGTCACATCTACACAGCTTTTAAATCCCTCCAGGGATGGGGACTCCACCCCTGCCCTGGGCAGCTGTGCCAGGGCTGGACAAACCTTTCATGGAGAAATTTTCCCAGTGTCCAACCTAAAGCTCCCCTGGCACAGCTTGAGGCCATTCCCTCTTGTTCTGTCCCTTGTTCCCTGGGAGTAGACTCTGACCCCTACCTGGATCCACCCTCCTGTCAGGGAGTTGTAGAAGGTGACAAGGTTCCCCCTGAGCCTCCTTGAGCATCAGCACCCCATGTCCCCAGGCCAGGGATGTGCTCAGTGGATCCTGGCTTGGCTGGAGGCTCCTGGGACAGGGGAAATGGGAGCCTGGGGGTCCTGAGTCCAAGTCTTGTGCTTGGGGCACTAAAAGGGCACATGCAGAGTCCTCTTAAATGAATAAATATAGTCATTTAAATTTTTGAGTGAAATATTGTTCCTTATAAGTTAGGATCTCATCTGTCCAAGCTCGGGTATTCAGCAGCTTGTCTGGTTTGTGCTCAGATTCAAACACTGCAATGAATTCACTGAGCACCAAATCCCATTGCCTGGGGCAGATGGAGCACAAGGTCCAGAACCAAACCGTGAAGATTTGGTATATTTGTCTAGAAAATAAGAAAATTGCACCAGTAGGAATAATTAATTGCTGGAAAAAAACTTACCGAGAGTTGTTGTGCATTCTCCATAACTCACCTTTTTTACATCAATATTAAATGTTGTGTCCATATCCAAAGAGGACTTGGTGAAGCCCTCAGCCTGTTTTATTCCAGGGATGGGGTCTGGTGGGCTCAGTGTTTGACAGAGGCTCAGTGAAGGAAATCACAACTCCCAGGATTTAAGCATTAAAAGGAAGTGTGCTGTTATGTGTAACAAGTGATTATATGGCACTTAAACAGGAAATCAGATGCTTCTTCTACTGCTGCATGTTAGGAAAAGAAACACGGTAATGGGTGAGGTGAGAGGTGGTTAATGCCATAATGTTTCCCTGAACGCTACTGGTGGAACCATTCTGGAATATTGCATACAATTCCTAGCATATACATACATGAAAATGTCTCTGAAATATATAATGCTTGTGGAAATGTTGCATGAGGGAGTAAAAGATCACTGTCTGCTCCTGTCTGAGAGATGATAAATACCCAGTGAGGAGGCAGCTTTTTGCAGATGATCAAACTTGACATAATTGTGAGGAGCAGGATCAGCCTGAGATTCCAGGCTGTTACAGTTGCAGGTGCTGCAGCCATGGGATTCCAAGAGCCTCTCAGCTTCCAGGGGAAACAAATACATAATTATTGGCCTTCCTGAATATTTAGGTTAGTTTGGAAATATCAGCTTTAAAGGAGAGATCACAGAGTCACAGGTTCACTGAGATTGGAAAAGCCCTCCCAGCCCATGGAGTCTACCCTGTGCCCAATCCCCTCCTTGTCACCCAGCCCAGGGCACTGAAGGCCACGTCCAGTCCTTCCTTGGACATCTCCAGGGATGGGGACTCCACCACCTCCTTAGGCTGCCCCTTCCAACACCTGAACACCCTTTCCAGAAAGAAATTCCTCCTGATGTCCAACCTGAACCATCTCTGGCACAGCTTGAGGCCGTTTCCTCTCATCCTGTCCCTTGTTCCCTGGGAGCAGAGCCTGATCCCCAGCTGGCTCCCCCCTCCTGTCAGGGAGTTGCAGAGAATGGACAAGGTCCTTCCTGAGCCTCCTTTTTTCCAGGGTGCCACAGGATGGATAAAGAACAAATTGCAAGTCATGTTTTTTGTCCCTTTTAGTATCTGATCTCGTCAAAGAAAGTTTTAAGATGCTGAAAAACCCCAAATAACTTTAGGGATATTACACTGGGAGCATATCTTGGGAAGCCATCAAAATCCCATTGCCTGGATCACCTGAAACTGGGATAGACCAAGCCCTTATGGGGCAGCCTGGCACTGGCAAAGCTCTCAAAGTGATATAATCAGGGGGTTTTTTTCTCCCTCCTGTTTCTTTTTTTTGTTGTTGTTGATTTGAATTTATTAAGTTAAATAAAATTAAAAACCAGCACATGGCCACAGGTGAGGTATCAGTACTTTTCTTGGGAAGGAATGAAGATGTTGATCCTGCTGATGCCACTGATGTTGATGATGTTGATGAAGCTGATGCTGCTGATGCTGCAGAAGCTGCCTCACACCCTGTCCCTGCTCTGGACCTGGCACCAGGAGCAGCAGGACTCTGGGCTGGGAGAGAAATGCCAGATCTCCTCTCCAAATATATGTTTAGTTGAAGCAGTGTGAGGACAGCTGTAAAAGCTGACAGGTTTACATCCACTTTTTAAAGACAGGACAGAAGAGTTCCTCAGCCACTCTAGTCAATTTTTGCCTTTTTGTGCATTAATAGTTCCAGATAAATTGTAATGAGGTGTTTTAAACTTCTGAACAGCTTCAGGTGAACTTTACAGCTGTCAGCTGGTGTCTATAAACTGTCCAAGAGTCCTATAAAAGGCTGTGAAACAAGAGCAAAATTAGGAGAGAAATACATCACTTCAAAAATCCAAAAATAAATAAATTAGTGGAGTGCGTTTTTAGTGTTACTTTTTTAGCAGGTCACCAGAATGGAGCATTGCAGGAAGAAAACACCTTCTGACACTGCTAATATTCAGGATGCACTAATGAATTAACGGAATTATCCCCACAATTCTTGTTTTCTCGGATTTGTCATGTCAGCCTGTCCAGCTTCAGTTCTGTGCTGACATACAGGCATAAGGATTTCTTTTCAAAAACATACATCTTATTTCATATCTAAATTTCACTGCTGTTACCCTAAAATAAAAGCAATAAATAATAAATAAGCTCTTACCTCTATCACACAAAATTCTTATTAGTCAAGCAGTTAAACCTCTGAGCCTTGTAAAAACTGAGCATCTGATTGTGAACTGAATTCTGTCAGCAAAACACAACTTTTCCTTGCTGGTAATGCAGCAGAGAAGCAGATTGTGGATATAATTCCACCCAAAACAAAGCAGACAAAAGAAAACACACTCAAATCCATTATTTAGTGGGTTCAAAACATACCTGAGCAGGTCTCTGAGGTGCTGACACCTGGGATCAGTCATTTCACCTTCAAAGAAACTAAGGCCTGCATCATTTTTTATCTCGTTTCCCGCTTTATTTGCTGTTTGTGTTCAGTCAAAGTTCAGTTTTTCATGAAGCTGCTCAAACAGAAATTCCAGCCCTTTCCATAATTTATGCTGTAACGATACATAACCTGAATGGAAGGAAATACTCATTGGAATAGTGGGATACACCTGGGTGCCTTTCTGATTTGGGTTCTGGCTGCAGAATGTGATCCAGGATCTGCTGTGAATTTGACCCTTGATGTTCTTCCAGCAAGGGAAGGGATGAGGTGTCTGAGCCTGGGGATGTCCCAGCCCCGACAAGATCCTCTGCTGGGATGCAGAGCATGGAGCAGGAATAGGAGCAAGGGGAAGAGATGATTTCTTTAGCCAGTCCCATATTGATGGACACAGGTAGGATCTAGTGGACAGTGTCCCTGCCTATGGCAGGGAGGTGGAACCAGATGATTTTTAAGGTCCCTTCCAACCAAAACCATTCCGTGATTGATTCTATGATATAAACTTGCCAACTAAGGGGTCCTAAAACCCTTCTCCAATTTCCCTTCCCGTGCCAGGAGCTCACAAACAGTTCTCCCTCATGGGCACATCCTGGTGTCCTGCAGAATATCAAGGTAGCACTGTCTGCAAGTCAGCATTTCATGTAATATTTAATATTTCATTTCATATTTCATTCCCCAGAAATATTCACAATATCTTGTGAATATTCACCTTGTAACTTCTCCTTCTCTTGCTTCCTGTGCTACTCAATGTGAGCTGAGTTACTCAACTCAGTTACAGATTCGGAAAAAAATGGTTTATATTTATTATTCACCTCCTCCTTCAGGACAGGGACACTGTTAAGTGCAGTAATTGAAGCAGATAACTCCAACTTCCTCTCCCTGCAAGCGTATTGTCATGCACATACATCTTGATTAGATCATTTTCCTTGTGAAAAGGAAGAGGTTTTGTACCGTGGTGTCTCAGATAATTTCCAGCAGAGTCTGCTGGTGGAGTTCTCTGATAGCACTATTTCAATTCGATATTCTTCTCGCTGCTGTTTATTTTTTCCGAGCGCTCACGTTTCCCTCACCTGTCTCCATCAGCAGGTCGCAACACTTTTGCACTGGCAAACAGGCCTGGAGGCAAACATTCCCTGTCGCTGCTGCTTTCTCTTGGAATCCCTGATAGGGAGGGAGAAGCGGCTGCATTCCTGCGCGCCTGACAGCCCGCTCGGGCTGCTGGAGGAGGAGTCGCTGTGATTTTGGCTGGTGCGGTCCCTGGTGGGTCCTGCTGCCACATTCTATCTTGAACTCGTGTCCACGCGACGAGTGACCTCCCACCCCACGACCCCGCTGCCAGGAGGGCTCTGAGCCGGGGGATTCCGGGCGGAGCAGAAAGACAGATCCTTAAGGAAGGGGCCAGCGCTTCAGTCAATGTCCTCTTACATCCCTGGCACTTCCCACTAAAGTATTTAACCCTCAGCACCGTTGATTTAAAAGGCTGGAGCATAACCAACCTTTCTTTTCCGAGGAGTACAATCAGCATGTGAAAAATAGATGATCTTTTTAAATGTTTAAAAAGTGCATTGGTGATGCTCCTCGAGACAGGAGGAGAGTGGCACAATTAATTTCCAAGCCTTACAGCTCTTCTGTGGGATTGTAACAAAAGCAGGGGTGGTTTGGGAGTGTGAAGGGAAAGATTTTGGGGAGAGCATCACCTGCACGGACAGCCTGCCTTGGGAATATCACACGGCTGTCGAGGAACCTGCTCAATAAATATTTCGTGAACACCTTTTTATCTGAATAAGACACTAGCTCAGCCTCCATGCAAAAAGTATGTACTGTCAATGGAAGCAAATTCCATGTTATTTTCCAACAGAATGTTCCTTGGTTTGTGGGGAGATGTTGGATTGGGCGGAATCCTCTGGGCTCAGGCCTGGAGCAAGCAGCTTTCCCTGTCTCTGCCTCCTGATTTCATCCATTCTGACTTCACAAAGCCCACAGAGACATTTTGTCCTTTCCAGTCAGGAATACTTTCTAAAATTTGTGTATTTTCCAGTTTTCTAGGCATCAGATTTATAAACTTCCCTTGAATGAATCCCATGAACTGAACCTGTGCAGTCAGGATGTTGTAAAACAATTAAAGTCCAGATCCCTCAGTTACCCTGTGGGACCTGCTAAGACCCTGTCAGGTGATTCGTGCTGGATCCCCAGACCTCAGGTCCACCCTCCAAATCCCAGGCCAGGCATGAAAAACCCTCCCCAGAACACTGTGCCAAAGCACCTTCTGTGACCGTACCTGTGGTGGGGACACATCAGGACACCAGGGTTGGGTTGGCATTGCTAGAGCTGACCCCAACTTTCAACACCTCCAGTGCATCCGGAGAACTTAAGCAGCAGCTGAGCTTGTCCGTGGGTGAACACAGCAGAAGCAACCCCACGAAGTTCCCCTGGTCAGAAGAATCTGAAAGATCTGCGATGGTCACCAGGGTGAGGGGTAGCGTTGGCCACGGTCACTGTCCCTGTACCCACCCCAGACACAGGTCTGGACGTCCTCCAAACCACCCCATCCAAGCTCCTGCCTCACCACCCGCAGCCTCCCTTCTCTCCCAACTGCTAAAAGCCTTCGCTCTGTACAAATTAAAACAAACCAGCGAGTAGCTGCTGTCAGAACAAACCTGGAGGTGAATGTTCCCTGAATTTATAACCAAGGCGAACACCAAGAGGTTTATTTTTTATAAATGTAGCTCCATTCCTAAACCCCAGCTTCACTTCCCAGCAGGAATCTGCCTGACTTGGAAACCACTACTTTTTTTTCTAAATACCTTCACATCTCGTAGCTGTACATCCCTCACAGAGACGCTGGAGCTATAGGAAGTATCCGTGGTAGGGGAGAGCTCGCTAAAGATCTCAGCAGTTCTCCCTCCTCGAGGATTAACCAATGCTGCAGGAGTTCCTGGGCTAAACTGGGAGAGGGAGGGGAAGGAAGAGCAGAAATAAACAAAATAAACTCTCTCCCAGCCAGTCGCGTTCTTTGCGCGCCGCATCCCCGGCGCGGCCACACGCACCTCAAATCGAAGTGCAACGCAGCTGAGAAGTTCTGCGAGCCCAGTGCCGCCAGTATCGCGCCAGTACCGCACCAGTATGGCTGAGGAGGCGGGCGGCGAGCACCGGCTCCGGCTGGAGAGGGGGAATTAAAAGAGTTGGAAAAGATGTGACCAGCGCCTCGCCGGCAGTTTCTCTCCCCCGTGGGATGTGGAGCCAAGAGCGGTGAGTTCCCACGCGGGACATTCCCGGGGGTCGCAGCCCCTGCGGGACAAACTGTTGCGTTTCTGGAGCGTTTTGCTGCGTGGACGCGGGGCAGGGGGGATGCGGGGAGAGGGGGGATGCGGTACCGCGGCGTCCCGGGACGGATGGGACGGGACGCGGAGCAGCCCCGGGGGATGCGGGGAGAGGGGGAATGCCGTACCACGGAGTCACAGGACGGGACGCGGGGCAGCCGCGGGGAATGCGGGGAGGGAGACGCGGTGCGGGGCGGCCCGGGCCGGACGGGCCGGGCCGGGTCGAGGTGCGGGCTCGCCCCCCGCTCTCCCCCCGGGGCCGCGCCGCCGATTCCGCCCCCGCGGGCGCCCCGCGCCCCCCGCTCGCCCCCGCCCGCGCAGCGCGGAGCGCGGGGGGCGCTTGCGCACTGCTGCGCCCCGCGCACCGCCGGGCCCCCCCGCGCCGCGGCCGCGCTGCGCTGGGCCAGAAGTGTATTAAAGCGCGGGGAGCTCCCGCACACTCCGCGCGTCCCCCTCCTCCGCGAGCGCTGCCCTCCGCGCGCCCCCCGAACAACCGCGCAAGGTAAGCGCCCGCGGCCGCCGGGGCGCGGAGCGGGGGGTGCGGGACGGGGCGCGGGCGGAGGGCGCGGGTGGCGGAGCGCCCGCTTACCTGGGACGCGACGGGCCGAGCCGTGCGCGGGGGCGGCCGTCCCGCGCCCCTGCGCGCCCCCTGCACGCCCGCGTCTGTCCCGCCGCGCGGGGACTCGGCTGCGCCCGCGGGTTTGCGCGTCCCGGCCGCTTGCGCGCAGGCAGCGCGGCGGGGATGCTGCGAGCCCGGCAGGAGTACGCCCGGCCCTGCGCGGCTCTGCGTGGCCCTGCGCGGGGTCTCGGCGGCGCGGAAGGGTCTCCGGGCTTTTTTTCCCCCCTCCCGAGCACAGGAGGGCAGAGCCAGGCACTGCCAGAGCCACCGCGCCGAGGTGGCCGGGCTAAAAGGCAGAAAGCAATTAAAACTCCTCCTTTCGGATTAACAACCAAAAATTGATCGATCTGTCAGGAATACTGTTGATTTATGAAAGGTGCTTATTTCCTTAGTATGGAGAATTTTATGTTCTCTAGGTGAAACTGAGTTCACCCAGCTCCAGAGTAGATTGATGTTTTAATAAAAATAAATAAAGGGAAAAAGCTCGCCCGGTCTTTGGGGACATCAACTCTCAAATCGCGGAGTTAGACTAACAAATCAAATCGCATTATCTTTACATTTCACATCTTTTAATAAAAAAAAATAATTAAAATATTGCACGCAGCGCCGCAGCTTTTATCGCAGCAAAGTTTTAATATGAGGTTAAAAAAAAAAAAAAGTTGAAATAACAAATAATCAATGGTCGATCTCGGAGGCTGCGGGGGGGAACGGGAGCGGCGGGGCCGGGTGCGCGCAGCACGGCCGCCCGCGCAGTGTCCTGTAGATGGCACACGGTCCCCACGCTACAGAGCCTCGGAGGCGGCGAGAGGGGATCTGCCGAGGGAAACGGCCATCCCAGCACTTGTTGTTTACCCAAACCGGGGCGCTCGGAAATTCATTGGAAATTCAAGCCCGAGGGGCGCGGGGAGCTCCCGGGCCACCCGCTGACCGCCCGCGGCCGCGGGACTTGCGCGCCTGGCGGGAGCGGGAGCGCGCTTTGCGGGGATGCTGTCGGGGAAGCGGGAGCGGGGAAGCGGCCCGGGGGGCCCCGGGCCGGGCCGGGCGCCCCGACACGTTTGTCTTTGCAATGTAAATCGCGGCGGGACAAATTGCTTATTAACAGTCGGGAAGAGGCGGCGGTTTCCTTCTTTCTTCTTTTCTTTCCCGGTTTTCATTCCGGCATGGCCCCCAGCTACGCTCGGGGCAGCCTCACCGCCCAGCAGTTTTCCCTTCATTTCAATATCCTAAAGAAAATGCAAATCACCACGCTGTGGCCTTTTTAAAAAGTTAAATTAGCAACAGCTTTAAGTGACTCCATTAGCATGGAAAACATACAAATGTTTAATGTGGGAATAGCCTGGCTTTTGGAGCTCGGCGAGCGCAGCGAGGCGGTGGGCTGGCGCCGAGCCCAGCTCGGGGGTCCCCCGGTGCAGCATCCCGGGACCCCCGCGGGAGCCACCGGCCGGGGAGGCACCGCGCGGGCTCCCCGCAGCTCCCCGCGCCGCCGACCCGCTCGGGAGGCTTTAATTATTTACAGGAGCGCTGTGGCTTGCGGGGAAATTGCGAGGCAGCTCTGGGGCGAGGGGACGGGGACCTCGGCCCGGTGTGTCCCCCCTCGGGGCATTCCTGTCCTGCCCGGTGGGCGAGAGCTGCGCTGCCCCAGCCTGGTCCCGGCCCTGCTCCCGGCGCTCTCCTGCACCTCTGCCGTGCGGGAGAGGCATGCGGTCACTCGGCCGGGCCGGGGCTCCACCACTGGTCGCCCCGGGGACAAAAGTGCTTGTGACAGCGGGAAGTTTTGCTCCGCGAGTGCGGCGGGGCGAGCAGCCCGTTCCGTGGGGCCCCACCGGCTCCCCGCGCCCGGTCCGTGTGGGAGCCCCGCACCGCGGGCATTTCCCGTGCGCTGGTGGAGGATGTTCCCGGATCCCTGCAGGGCAGAGCGAGCCCTGACCACGAAGGAGTTAAGGTTTCTATTATTCAGTCGAGGTCTTGTTAGGATGTAATCTGCATTTTCTAACTACTGCGTAATAAAAAGTGAGAAGTTTTGAGACACCTTTCTTGATTATACCTTTGGCGATACTTTAGGTTTTACATTTAATTTGCATTTTGTTCTTAGTGAATATTGAAGTCTTGAGTGGAGGATTGAATTTTATTAGGACATCTGGACTGACAATATCAAATCAGACACCAACGTCCCAAAGCATGCTAAAATTTCAGAGTTAATTAGAACGAAGTGTGTTTAATTAAAGCCAATTATAATATCTGAAATTATCTGATCGATCCTTGTTTGTTCAGTTGGAGTCAGTTTATATTGTTCTCGCCGCACGACGGGACCTGTCCGGCCGCCAGCTCCCCGCGGCCCCGGCTGCGCACCCGCGCTGCTCCGCGGGGGCGGCCGCCCCTCCGCCCAAGCGGCTCCGAGCCCCCTCAAACCCCCTCCCCGCTGTCCCGGGGGAGCAGAGACGCGGCGGCCCCGCAGTACCCCCGGGCCGCGGCCCCGCATCCCGCGGGGACCGGGAGGGCAGCGCCCGCGCAGCGGCCGCACCTTCGGGAGCCGGGCAGCGCCCACGGGGAGTTTTCCCGTCCGAGCACGGCGGAAGTTTAAGCCTTTTTTTTTCTTCTAATTTTTTCGGGGTTTTTTTTCCCCTTGTTTAAGAACTAATTTTGGTGTAACAATATTGGGGCGCGGGGCCGCGGGAACGCGCCGGGGGTAGCGCGGGGCCGAGCGCCAGTTTGGGTAAAACAGCCCTGCACCCACAGGGAGTTCCGTGACCCCGAGCCAGACCCACCGCCCCGCCGCGCAGCGTAGCCGCGGGCCGCGCAGGGCCGCGGGAGGTGCGCGGGCGGCCGAGGAGGCCCAGGGCGACCTGGCCCGGGCAGGGGGAAGGACAGACCCTCTGAGCCCCTCTGAGCCCCGCAGCATCTCCGCGCAGCCGGTGCCCGCCCTGCGGTGCCTGCGCGGGGCGCGGAGCGGGGCAGCTCCCTCCCCATCCCGGCGGGGCGGGCGGCAGATGCGGGCGGTGGTACCGCACCGCTGGCCACGTCCGCTCTCCAGCGGGCCCGGGATGCTCAGGAATGTGAATACAAGCACTGAAACTGGCCCAAAGCGGGCGAATCCATCCCGAAAGGCGGGCGGCGAGCGGGGCCGGGCAGCGCGGGGGTCCCGCACCTCTGCGCGGGCGGCCTTCCCGCAACCTGTACCCTTTGCGGGGCGCTGGGGGCCTCGGCTGCAGGCGGTGCAGGTCGGTGTGCCCCAAAGCACCGGCGGCAGCGCTTGGTCCTGGGCTTCGCTCCGCTCCTGGGCCCGGTTCGGCCTCTGCCCTGGGCGCAGGATGCGCGACTCCCCGCAGAAGGGCCGGGCCGGGCCGGGCCCTGCGGCGCTGCGCCCCCGCGCACATCACCGCCTCCCTGGGAATTAGCGCCCTGGAGCATCGGCCAAGGGGCCGCCGCTCCTGAAAACACCCGAAAACACAGATTTACCCGAAAATAGCCATTTCTCCCTCCTGCAGCGCGGGGGTTGGCAGAGATTTGTTTTGGTTACGCCGGGCATAAATTACACCCGATGCAACCCGGCGCGTTAGTAATGAAGGCGCCTTCCAACAATAAAATTGAAATATGGACTTTGGCGAGCTGCGGGGGCCCGGCCGAGCCCCCCGAGGGCAGGGTCGGAGCCGCCGCTCCCAGCTCCCACCGCAGCTTCCCGCTGGGAAAGTTTGTGCGGTGGGAAGCGCGGAGCTGGGCAGCTCGGGGCCGGCCCACGGCCGAGGAAACAGAGAAACTACCTCACGCGCTCAAACTTCTGTGATCTAAACCGTGAAATGAGAAACAAGTAAAAATAATAACAACAAAAAGGAAAGAAAAAAAAGTGAAATGATTAAGATAATAGTCCCGAGGGGATTGTCCCGGGGGGGAGGGGGGGGGGATAAAATAATAAAGTTTAAGGCAATACTACAAGGGCGGTGGGATAAGGGTATCAATTTTAACCCACGCGCAGCGCGGGATGCGGTGTCCGGCCGCGGTGCGGGGCAGGAGGACGCGCTCGGAGGCGGCGGCGGGGGTCTGCCCGCACGGGCGGTGCGGGGCGCGGGGGGCGCGGAGCGGGGCCGGGCCGGGGGACAGCTGGGCTGCGGCCATCTGAGCGGCTCCGCCGTGACATCTGGGAGCCCGCTGGTGTGTGGCACGCGCATCGCTTGATGTCGCTATTTAAATGCAAATTTGCGGGGGGATCACTGAAGCCTCACCCCGTAAATTCACACAAAAGGGAGACTTGGCGCCGGAGGAGGAGGAGGAGGAGGTGGAAAAGGAGGAGGAGGAGGAGGGCCGCGGAGCCGGGAGGGCTCGGGCCGCCCCCCGCAGCCGCGCACACCCCCTGCCCTCCCGGCGCCGGCCGCGGCCCCGCTCCCCGCGCCTGCCCCGCGCAAGGTGCGGCGGCGGCTGCGGGGCCGCGATCCCGCACCCCGGGAGCGGGCCCGGGGCTGAGGGGGATGCCCAGGCTCTGCTCCCCTCCCTCCTCGGCCGGGAGAACGGGAGGACCTGTCGGGGGCGGGATGCCGGCCTGGCAGCGGTGCGGGGCGGCGCGGGGCGGTGCGGACAGCAGCATCCCGGGC